AAAAAAAAAAAAAAAAAGTGTTTAGAATCTAGTGATAAAGTTTACCAGTAGCAAAAATCTTAACATTCTATTCCCATGTGTCTTTGATCCAGTCCAGTGTTTCTAAACTGATGGTCAAGATCTCAAGAAATCATTCTAGAGAATTCCAAAGTAGAGTGAAACTCTGGCCAGGCTGAGCTCATGTTGAGCGCACCTGTTTTAATCAGTACTCAGTCAAAGCACCATCTTTACAAGTCTAGTTCATTGAGGCTGTGGTAGAATTGACACCGATCTGAGTTCTCTCAAAAGACTTCTCCTGGAGAGGTCAAGTCTTTCAAAATCCACAGGAAAGTAAACATACTAGAAAACCCTAAAGGAAATCTCGGAAAGGGTCAGGCATTCATACTTGACGGCAATAATGTGGGGCCTGAAATGGGAACAATGTATAAGTGGTCAACTCTAAATATTCCATTTTTGTATTGTATTAGAAAGGAAATTTCATGTTGGGGAAGAACTTCCTTCATCCTAATAAGTCCCCCAAAATATAGCAGCTCACAACAATGGTGGTTCAGTGTGTCACACATAATGCAAAGCTCTGAGGTGGGAAATGCCAGCAGAAAAAGACCAAAGTTCACTTTTGGCCAAAGGATGCCGCAAGTTCATTACTTTATTTTTTGAGACAGGCTCAAGAATCAAATTGAAAACAAGGATTAGGGATGAAAATATTAATTTTGCTTATGGTTAAAGTAAAATTAACATATTAATGAATAAATGCTATAGCAATTTGAATTATTATTCTGAAAAACAAATTACCTAATTGTGAATATAAACTCCCCTCAAACAAGTATATGTTTTTTGTATTTGTTTTTTTTAATTCTTTTTTGGTACTGGGGATCAAACTTGGGCCCTTGGGTTTGCGAGGCAGACAGCAGAATCATTAAGTTAAATCCCCGGCCCACGAGTGTGTGTTTTAATGGTAAAGAATTTATCTGGTTTTAAATCCACAAGATAGAGAAATCTTTATTTTTAGTGTGAAGCATGTGGTTATTTATGATTTGGACTTGTTCTGTTATGATCTATGAATTGCTTAGTTGAGTGTTACACATCTACCGAGGAATTACTAAAGAATTTTGGTCTCATACTTTATTGTCTGTTTTCTATGTCGCATATACAACTCTGGCTAAAAATTCAACATTTGAAGAAACATTAATTTTTTTCTTATTTCATGTAATTTGTATTTTTCATTTTATTTTATTTTTATTAGCATCCAAACAGGTTAAACCACTTTACACCAAAGAGTTTCTTATTGGCAGTTTTATGATCCTCTGTTATGGGCTGAATTATTTCCCACCAAAATTTGTGTTGTGTATTGAAGCCCTCACATTTATTGGCTTGCTTTCTGCTTCACTGGTTTTCTCAGCCTCCTTTGCAAGCCTATCCTCCTCTACTCAAATTCTACTTGTTGGAGACCCTCAAGGTTCAATCCTTGGCCCTCTTGTCTATATACTTTACTTGATTTAGTCATCACCCATGATTTAATCTGACCTAAGAGTTTAATAGAAGTCATGTGGGCCACTTTCAGGTGGTGACCCTAGAATCATGCTCTCCCTGCTATCTGGATACTGACACCTAACACAGCTCATTTAGATCTAAAGATAGAAATTTTGTGCTAGAATGGCAAAACTGCCTTACCAGCCCTGGACTGTGTACCTACTCTTATTCTGTGTAATAGAAATGACTCCATCTTCTTTGAGCCACTGTCCTTTAGGACTGTTCAATATAGTAGCTTGGACTGTACCTTTAGTTAGTACATTCAGTGTTCCCCATCTAAGTAAATGGCGTCCTTACCCACTTACATTCTCAAATCAGAAGCCTGTGATATCCCGTCCTTCTTCACATCTAATTTATCAGTATATCCTGTCAATTGGACCCAAAAAGTATATCTCAAGTACATTCACAACTCAAACATAGGCAGTCCTAGTGCCTTCGTAACCACTGACCATTTTGGTTTTGACCCCGTACTTTTCTTCTAACTGCAGCCAGAAACAGCTTTAAAAACTTAAATACATCATGTCCTGTTCCAGTTTTAAACTTCTCAGTGCCTTCTCATTTCATCAAGATACTGTTTCAAGTATCCTCTTTGCTTTCTTCCCCAACCTCACCCTGTGACGCTTTCCTCTTGCTCACCAGTTTTCAGCCACAGTCGCCTTCTCTCCATTTCAGGTCCTCAAACATTACGGGCTCTTTCCCACCACTGGCCTCTGCTCATGTTCTGTCTCTTCTTCTCCATGTTTATTCTTTCACTCTTTATTGGGTTGATTCCTGTCCCCTCTAGGCTGGAAGGAAGCTCTGTGGAACCAGAGTCTGTGTTGGTGTTGCTCACTTCCATACGTTCAGAAGCACTGTAGTTCCTATCACATAGTAGTTGCTCAATAAATCTAATACTTCTTGAAATGAAGTAAATAGGAGAAGAACGCAATGAGAGCAGAGGCTAAGGAAAAAACATACCTAGAAGAAATAAGTAAGATTGATTTTAGTTGAATGTATTAGTTTACCAGTTCTGTCATAACACATTCTTCCAAACTGGGAAACTTAAAACATCAGAAATGTGCCCTTTAAGAAAGCCAAGAGCAGAAAGCATTTCTAGAAGGTTGGTTCATTGTGTGACATGTTAACAAGACAGTAAGACCAAGTGCGGGCACTCAAAATATATCTCTACTGCAAGCCTAACCTTTTCTACCTTCACTCATAGTCTTTAGAATGTTTCCAGCCTACCCATCCAAACATATTTCTGTCTGTCTCTCATTCTAAAATCATGCCCTTATTCTCAATCCCTATGCACATCAACTGGTTCTCACCTTTGGTCAGTCTCTTCTTCAACCTGTATTGGTATTTATCCCCATTACCTGATTACCCAAGTTATCCCCATTCTTCAAGGCTCCAACTCAAGAAACCGATCTTTGACTCTTGAGAAGCCACAGTTGCATTTTTGTGTTAGTTTTTCTTTTCTAAGGATAAAGAACACATTACATATGTTCCATATACCCAATGCTCTAATAAGAATTAGCCAACCTACTGGCTACCCAATATTTACTGACTAATGTACAAATGTATTACTTTCTGGGTACAATAATTGGACATAGATGCTTAGCATTATAGATGGAGAAGGACCTCGGAGACTGATTAAAATCTCTAATTTACACATGAAAAATCTAACATCAAAGAAACATGAAAATGCTTTCTCTCTATTTAAAGCAGCATGTAAATTAATATTCAATCACATCTTCATCAATGAGCACCACTGAAACCCTGCACCCCACCAATTCCATTTTCAATAACCACCCTTTGGCTTCCATTCCGTCTCTTGTTCCCAGTCACACCTAATAGGTACCTGGTGTCAGGCTCTGTGATTATGAACAAGAGGAAGTCCTGCCCTCTCGAACATAGTATATTTAGATGTTAGACTCTGTACTGATCTCTCCCTTCCAGATATTCAGCTATGTGACAGTTTTCCAAGGCACCTGAAGCACATAAATAAAACAAAGGCTTATCTTGACTGATTCAAATAATAAACACAACAGATTCACTTGCCTGAACTGACTTTTACCTGTCTCGTCACAACCATCTATTCTCATGCCGAAAAGTAGGTCAAATTTAGTGTAAACTATATTGAATAAAAATGAAAGTATGAAATATGAATATATTGAATATAATTAGCTTTTTGGAGTTGTTTAGCTCTTCTCTAATTCAAGCAGCTCTTTGTGAATCTTATTGAGTATGTTAATCATCCTATCGTAAGATATAGGTTAACATAGCAAGCTATAACCAGAGATATTCTTAATCCACTTGTAAATTTCTGTATTTTTTATTTCAGCATAGGTGTTGTGGGTGCAGCTAAGATGAGGGGGAAATATATAAAACCCTGGCAAGGTGCCAAGGAATCTTTCATGTGTATCTCCTTGGGCAACCTTTAAGAAGCCATTCTCAGACTGTGTGGTACCATTTTACCCTGACCCAGAAGCACAGCTCACAGAAAACAGAGGCTAATAGAGTGGGAGCCCTCAAGCCCACTATTGCCCTTCCCCGCAGTCTACTGGGAACCCCATCCCCTACAGAGGGCTTCATTGAAGAGATTTCGAGGAAATACCCATACAGAACCTGGGCCTCAGGTGCCCATGACCATGCTCTTGGCACCCAAAAACTATGAGTCCATTCCCTAGCAACATAAATCTGTAGTCTGAGCCTCAGAGAAGTTTTCCTGGTCACCTTCCTGAGGGCAGAATATTTTTACCCATACACACACTCTTGGGTCCAAAGAAGTCAAGGCACAGCTATTTGTGGAGGAAAATGGAACTTGGATGAGCCAGTTGTAGTTTTCCAAGCTCCAAGAAAGCAAGCCCTTAAAGTCTGGAATGGAGCCAAGAATGAAAAGTGCAGTCTGTAGCCTCTTACACATTTGCTCAAAGGTTAGGATTCAGTTAGTTCCAACCCTTGTAAAGTGTGCTGCATTAGAAAACATCTTTATGGGTTATGCCTGTATGACTCTACACAACTAATTCTTCACAGGACTGCTCCAGCAGGAGAAAGCCACGGCACACAGTCTGCCAAGGAAAAGGTATTGTGACATTCCCACGCTTTGGTACCTCATCATTGTTGGGCTGGAAAGGTGTCTGTCGTGGAAATATAAAGAAGTGAAAACTTTCCCTCTGAAGGTACAATAATTGGATCTGCTGAAATTAACTGACAATAGGAAGATTAACAGGAAAAAAGGCATAAAATTTATTAATATGCATATATGCTTGGCACCACACAAAATATGAAATCCAAAGAAGGGCCATATGGCTCAGTTTAAAGCCTCTGTATCAGGGAGTGTAAGCAATTTTAGAGAAAGAGTAAATGACTTTTAGGGGAGATGAATGGGTCTGAAGGAGAGAAAATAGCTTGGGACAATGTTCATATGGGCTGCAGATATGATACCTAGTCTAGTCTTCCTTCCTGTGATGTGGAACAGTTCTTGGGAAGGGATTTTTACAAAAATGAAATACCTTCTAGAGGATCCAACCTTTAAGTAGATAGAAGAACTTCAAAGAAAGCACTTCCCTGTTGTTTGGAGAGAAAGAGAAGTGAAAGATAAAGAAATGGGAAAAGGTCAGAGACCTCAAGACTGCTTTAGATGAGCATGTCAAAGTACCAAACTGGGGGTAGCATTTTCTGAGTTCCAACAGAAGCATTTGGGATGCTCTTTGGAGCTCAAGGCTACACAAGCCTTCATGTCAATTTTGCCTAGCCCGACATGCTTAAATTCAACTAGCTAGAGTGGATTTTTGTGTGGTAGAATATTGTTTATAAATTTGTTTACATTTTTAGAAATCCAAGGTTTAGAATTTAAATTATATATCTGTTATGGTTTGGATTTTGAAATGTTCCCCAAAACTCATGTGTGAATTTTGGTGGCCAGCTAATGGATTTTGTTGGGAAGTGACTGGATTATGAGGGTGCTAACTTCCTCACCTGGATTAACTCACCGATGTCATTACTGGGAGGTGATGAGAACAGAAGATGGGATCTAGTTGAAGGGAGTGGATCATGAAGGTATAAACTTGGGGACTATGTCTTGTCCCCAGCCCTTTCCTCTTGAGCTTTTTCCTTTTCTGTTTCTCAACCACCATGAAGTAATCTGCTTTCCTGTGCTACACCTTTCTTCCATGATGTTTCTGCTTTTGCAGAGGCCTAAAGCAATGGAACAAGCCATTGAAACCAGTTTTGAAACTTGTAAAACAGACCTTTCCTCCTTTAAAGTTGTCATGTCAGGTATTGTGTCACAGTGACAAAAAGCTAATTGGTAGAGTGTCTGAACCCTACTTTCAAAATGAGTTTAAATTTTGGCTAGGATTCATATTCTACAATACTTAGAGTACAATGCAATCTTTACAATCATTATCTGAAAATGTCTACCTATTTTTTCTTTGTTCTCTCCCCACTCCCCATCCTTTTCCCTCACTTATTTTCCTCCACTGACATACAAGTGGCTAGTGTGTACATACTAAAAAAGTGCCAGGCACTTAAGGATCTTATTCCCAAATCATAAAAACCCTAAGAAGAACCTCAGCTGCCATCCATAAATTTTTATTTAAAGCAGGATAAAAGTGGAATTCATTCAGCACAGAGCCAGTGAGGAGGAAAAAAATTGTGTCAATTAGAAATACTTATGTGTGTCCCTGCCCTTCCTGAGCTCATAACTTCTGCACATGCTTAATAGGTCATGTCATAGTTAATACTTCTTCCTTCTAGGAACAGCTTCATAAACCCCCTGAAATGCAGTTATCACAGATGATTTGGGAATGGAAACACCAAGGCAACTCCCCACTTTCTCTAATTGGAATGGCTAATTTGGCTGTAACAGCAGCTCTATCCAGATGCTCAGATTTGGTTCAGAGTATGGAAATCTGTAGTGAGGGGATTTGCTCAGGATGCTGAACAAAGAAAGCCATCATTATCTATGATCAGGAAAAAGTATTCTAATTAGTGTTAATATCCTCCTGCTGAGCTTGCTGTCATCCACATTTTGATCCCTGTCCTTGGATTTTCCAGGATCTGATGTCCTGGCTACACCAAACAAGGATTAGGGAACTGGTGTGAGCAAATGTGAAGCTGAGGCTAGGAGTGCTGTCCAGAGGAAAGGAATTAGCTTTAAAATGCCACCTACATGGATATTCTTGAATGAGATCTTTACAAAAATTGGCTCACAGGTATAAATCTAATGCACTCAATTTATAAACATATAAAAACATGTAGTGATTGAATAAAGGCATGAGAAGGATATGTGGAACATTGTCTTCTAAGTGTGAATTACCATTAAGGTTCATCTGCAAATGAATCTGAAGCCTGTGGATACCCATTAAGTCCTGAAATTTTTCAACAATAAATTTAGACTGGGAGATTAGGCACACATCAGCACTTAATAAATCCCCTTTGGTGATGTAAATGACAGGGAGAAGTGCAGGTGAACCTTCCCCTGGGTTCCTCCCTTTTCACTCAGTCCCCTGAAGTGAGAGCCTGGATGGGCTAATGTGAAAGCCATAGAAAAAGCCCAAAGACTAAGAGAAGCTTGATGTTCACAAATCCCACATGGAAAGGAGGGAAAAGAAAAATCCTAGCAAGCTATAAATTTCCCACAGAACTAGGACACTTTGACTTTTAAAGGTAAAGGATTTAATGGACCCAGATGAAACCCTCCATATGATGTTTTCTTAGTGCTGGGCACTTTGCCAGTCACATATTTTTTATCATACATGACATGTGTGGCTCATGGTCAGAGCCAGGCTTTAAGGAGAAGCCAGGTGGGCAGTTATCCAGGCGGGGTAATCTGAGCAGCAAAAAGGAAAATGTTTTCACCTCCCTCTAAAGTGAAAATGACCATAATAGTCTGTGAAAATGTCATAGATTTCTGAAATATCCACACATTTTGGTCATCCATCCCTTTTACTCTTAAAAAGATTTTTTGTTTCAGTCCTAGAGGTAAGAGTCAATATATATGGGTGGTACAAAAGCTTTCTGAGAAAATTAAGGTTCTTCTCCTGATTCCAACCATTGTTTGGATGCTGGAGTTCCTTACCAAAAGGCAAAGAAAATCTATCATGTGTTTGACCATTTTACAATGACACTGCAATCTGAATCCAAATATATTTACTCACTATGAATACTTTTGTCAAAATGAAGCTGTATAGTAATATATTAATTCCATATCTTGCTCCTTATAAAACTTAGAGATTAACTCACTAATAATAATGGGTGGAAAAGTAAGAGAAAGATTTCATTTGGGGTATGTTCCATTAGAAAGAGATATTTTCAAGTTTCACTATTGATTAACAAGTGCATAAGTAGACTTCTGCTTTTACAGTGTAAACCTAGCCTCTACCATTCTCTGTGTAATTTCTCTGTCTACTGAGATCTAAGATAGAAAATAAATATGAATAAATAAAGGAAATGTTAAAGTTAAATACCAAGAAGCCAAAATAAATAGTGAGGTAAGAGCAGGAGAAGGAAGAAAAAGGGCATCTTAGAAACAATGCTCTGCCATTGCTGCTGTTTTCCACGATAATATTGTTGTTAATGGTGATGTTTGTAATGGAGCAATCCAAGAGCTTTCACTCATCTTGTAGATAATTACAAGTCATTGGGGAGGGAAAAATAGGGGATTAAGAACTAAGGTGAAAGAAATGAAATATAACAATATCTCCGGATGTAGAGTTCTTTATTTCCACCTGACAGGCTTTGGTAAGTGCTAATTTACCAAAAAAAAAAAAAAAAAAAAAAAAAAAAAAAAGGAATTAAGGAAAACATACAAAGAACAAGGGATATCACCTTAGCCAACATATAAATAATACCCACTTCCCAAACTCTTGCTCATTTAGTCTCACTACCAGTAATATTAATGAAATTCATCACTCTTTCATACAACAAATATCTAGTGAGCACCTCTTCATGTGCCAAGAACTGTTCCAGACTGTTGGAATTTATTTTTGTTTATTGGTACCTGGGATCAAACTTGGAACCTTGCGCATACAAGGCAGGAGGTAAAACCACTGAGCTAAATCTCTGGCCCCTGCCTGGTGGAGTTTAAAGGTGAGTAAGACAGGCAAGATTTTCTTCTATCCTCAAATAGCTTATATAATGGAAAGAAAGTGAGTAAACAAGTAAATAAATCAATAAGCAAACAAGAAAATTTCTTCTTGTAGTGTTAAGAAAAAACTAAGCAATAAGAGAGTGACAAGATGACATTTCATCAATTATTTATCCATCTCTCAACAAATACAAATTGTTATATATAATTTGGCTTTTGTAGCATAACAAAACACCCCAAATTTAGTACCTAAAAGCAATCACCATTTCTTCAGTGCATATCGGGCAACCTGGGATGGATTCAACCTGGGGTGAATTCTTCTGGTCTCACTGTACTCACTCATGTCTCTGAAGTTGGAGACTAAACATCCAGGCAGCATACTTCTGGGGGTTGGCTTGTCCCCATTTGGAGCAATAAGAAAGACTGGGCCTTGTGTCTCTCACCTTGCAGCAGACCAGCCCAAGCTCATTCACATAGAGATTCCAAGAAGGACAGAAATGTTAGTCTCTTGGTCTGTGTTCCGAATAGACACTATGTGTAGCTCCTTACAAATAGCACTGCCAAAGCAAGTTACAAGAACAGAAACTGTGAAGTCATGTTGTAAACTGTGAGCATAGAGGGAAGGAAAGAGTTATTGGGGTTTTTGCAATCTAACACAAATGCCCTAGGGTAAGCTAGGCACTGAGGCAGCAGTAAGTGACGCAGACACAACTCTTTTTCCGGAGCCTGTGGTCCATGTTCAAAGTACTATTGAGGAAAATGCCTGCCTACAGCTCTAAGAAAATGGATATAGAATGATTGTTTACCTGTGGGACCTAAATGTTGATTTCATTAATTGGCACTTGGCACTTGAGACGGGGTATTCTGCCTGCTCAACATGGGACCTATTAACACGCCTTACAGTGAATAGAACTAATTACTAAAACTGGATTTTAACCAAGCCACCCTGTCTCTTTTCTATACAATGCCAATCCTATTGAGCAAAGGATAGT